GCCCTTGGCCGAGTTTCTTCTCTCAAAAGTCTCCAACCTTTCACCTCAAAACCCTAGGGTAGTTTCCTTCTTTCCTACCTTTTGAAGTGAGAATCCATTGATGCTTGAGCTTGGATGCTTCCATCCAAGGCTAGACCTAATTACTTTCGTGTTTCTTCTTCATTCAAGAGCCAATCCATTCGGTGATATGTCCTTGAAGATGATCCATGCCTAGGAGGAGCTTAGGAGGAGCTTGTTCATCTCTTTTTCTACTCACTTCTATCATTAACTTCGGCTAGCCTTCTCCTATCTCCACCCTTGGAGAGTGGAAAACCTAGAGTGGCCTCAATCTTCACCTTGGAGTCAACCAACCATCCTTGAGCTTCCATCAAAATGCCTAAACCATCTCTCCCACTTCACGCCCAAAATCACTTCCCCTTCACCCTAAATGTCTCCATCCATTTCTTGTCCTTTGGTGAGCATAGATCCTTGGGCAAGGTTACCTTCTTCAAGACATCAAAATCATCCATGGAAGGGAGGTCTCCATCACTATCTCGCAGCCAGGCATATCTATCTTCTTGAAGGAGTTTGGTGAAGATATCAGCTAGTTGTTCTTCAGTCTTAACATAAATCAGTTCAAACGTTCCTTTTTGCACATGATCTCTAATGAAATGATGTTTAATGTCTATATGTTTAGTCCTAGATTGCAAAACAGGATTTTTATAAATGTTAATTGCAGCAGTGTTATCATAGAGTATAGGAATACTACATTCATAAATGTCGTAATCTTCCAGCCGATGTTTGATCCAAAGCAGTTGCGTAAGAAACTGTCCTGCGAAAACATACTCAGCTTCGCAAGTTGATAAGGCAATCGTGCTTTGCCTCTTGCTAGTCCATGAAACCAAGCAGGGACCAAGGAAATGACATCCTCCGCTAGTGCTTTTTCTCTCCCATTTATCTCCTACATAATTTGCATCACAATATCCTAGAAGGGAAAAATTTTGGCTTCTATAGAAGCTAATGCCTAGGTTAGCAGTTCCTTTAAGGTATCTTAAGATTCTTTTAACAGCTTGTAAGTGTACCTCCTTAGGTTGTACTTGAAACCTAGCACAGACGTAGACGTTGAACATGATGTCTGGTCTTGACGCTGTAAGGTACAAGAGAGAACCAAACATTCCTCAGTACATCGTGCTATCAACGTTTGGTGATTCTTTGTCCCGACCAAGAGTAGTTGAAGGATGCATCAGTGTCTTCATTGGTTTTGCATCTTCCATCTTAAAATTTTGCAATAATTCTTTTGTATATTTTATCTGATGAATTTTGATTCCTTTGTCTGACTGGACGATTTGAAGTCCTAGAAAGGACTTCAATTCTCCCATGTTCTCCCATCATGCTCATTTCAAATTCATCCTGCATAAGCTTGGAAAACTCTTGGCAAAGATTTTCATTAGTAGCACCAAATATTATGTCGTCTACATAGATTTGAACTATTATGAAATCATCCTTTATTTCTTTTCTAAACAAGGTGCTGTCAATTTTGCCCCTTATAAAATTATTATTTGTTAGAAAAGAGCTTAATTTTTCATACCACGCACGTGGTGCATGTTTTAATCCATACAAAGCTTTGTTTAGTTTGAAAACATGAGATGATAGTAGGTCATTTTCAAAACTAGGAGGTTGACTCACGTAAACCTCTTCTGAGATTGTTCCATTTAAAAATGCACTTTTAACATCCATCTAGTATAATTTCATGCCAGTACATGCAACAAAAGCAAGTAAGATTCTAATGGCCTCTATTCTAGCAACAGGTGCAAAGGTT